CTCTCTTACCCACCCACATCCCCCAATGCTATTGTGTTTGTCAGCTTTTCTTCTCACTTCATATTTCTGCTTTCTTGTGAATCTCCCTTATTCTTGATGCAGGAATACCCTCTGCTCCACCATATATTGCATATCAGAAGTTTGTTGTCAGGAGAGAAACACTCATTTTTTACATGACTATCTAGTCTCCATATACTTACAGTTCTCTGTAAGTTAATGAATCAACATACAAGCCCGGAGTGTATTTGTTTATGCTAAGGATGCCCAGGGAATAACAGGTAATGCTGTTAATTGAAGGGAACTGACATTCCTTCACTTGCCACGTCAATTTGAAATATGGTGAGAATCTCAAACTTACTTACAAAAGATGAATCTTTACTGGTTTTTACATTTAAAGAGAACAATTTGGCTGTTCTGACATGATTATTCAAGGAAGCCCTACTAGAAGCAGCCGAGTTACTGGAAATCCATTTACCATGTAGTCAATTTGCCAAATGACCAATTTTTGCCAAATATTTATTTTACAGATTTTTTTCTTGCCTTGGCTTTGCATATTTAGTCCTCTTTGGATGCATGTCCAATTTAAGATGGTTTCAGATGTCAAATATTTCTTAAATTCTCCTTTTGCACATGTGAATATTGTGATTTCTGTCATTGGCCTTTTATTTTGCCCTGCCTCTGCCACCACTGTCCCCACTCTTGTCCATATTCCTCTCTGGCTTTGCTCAGATAAATATACTTCAAGGATCTTTGTGTGCACCTTCAGGAATTTTTCTTTTAACAAAGTATTAGAAATGTCAAGGCGTATGTATAGTATGTCTAAGACTTCCGATGCAAATTGCCAAATTGCCAAACTATTTGCAATTATGCCAATTGACATTCAGACCACCTGGCCATAGGACCTTAATCATCTTGCTTTGAGTTCTATTCCTACCAACAGTGACTGAGACTGCATGCATTTCTCACATGGCCAATACCAGGTATCACCACTGTTTTTTATCTTTACCAACATATGGAAGATTAAAAATGCTGTTGCATTGTTGTTGTTGTTGTTTTTAATATTTGGTTATTAATGAAGATAGTCATTTGTTTCTGGCTTACTGGCCATTTTAACTTCTTTTCTGAAATATTTGTTCATGTCTTTTGTTCATTTTTTTCATCTTGGGCTTTACATGTATAAGAATATTAATCTTATACCATGTTTCCCCAGGTTTTATTTTTTTACTTTGCTTGCTGTGATGTTTGAGAATTAGTTGTCCTTTCTGTCTGAACAAATTTAGACATGTTTTCTCCTTCTGCTTTTCACCTAAAAACAGCCTGCTTCCTCTTGAGACCTGATAAGTACATATTAATAGCTTTTGAGCTTATTTCTTTAATTTAAATTGTTAATACATTTGGAATTTATTTTGCTCTGTGCTTATCTCTACTTTAATAACAAAGGTTGAGAAGGATGGGTTTGAGCAGGGAAGACTTTTGATAAGAATGACACCTGATAATAATGGCAATATAGATGCTATCATGAGGCCCTCAAATGGAAGATTTACATCTATTTACTTCCTTCTTCTTGACCCTGAATAGAGTTGAGCCATTAGTTGTGGTTTGTGTCACATATTGTCCAGTTTCTTAGGCTACATTACTGTGATCAACATTATTGTTACTATGGAAAATAAACACAGAGATAGGGAAGACTGTTGTGGTTTGCTTTTCCAAACGAGATTCTACTATCACCCTGTGACTTCATTATTTTATTTTTTAATACACTTTTATTGATTTTAGAGAGAGAAGAAGAGAGAAGGAAAGAGAACAATCAATCTGCTGTCTCCTTCAAGCCCCGCCCCTTCCCACCTGGAATTAAACCTGCAACCTGGGCGTGTGCCCTGACTGAGAATCAAACTCAGGTCCCTGTGGTGCCTGTGATGACACTCAATGAATTGAGCCACACCAACCAGGGCTGTAACTACGTTTATAAAAATAATAGTAATCTCTCCAGGTCAACGGATATATTTATGTGTCCTTTTACAGACACACACACACACACACACACACACACACACACACACACACATTTAGATCCTAGAATCAAGTATTGAATAACTTGGACTAGAAAATCACCACATCAACTAACTTTTGAACACAAAATCTAAAGTCATTTTTACCAAGTATATTTTTTAAGTGTAAGAGATGTAAGATACGGCATTTTGAAATGACATTTAAAAAGCCATATGTGCAATTTTATTGAAGTCAGTGCATTTTTAAAAAGTGTGAGTTTAATTTTTTTAAACAAATAAAGTGTGCCTCTTTTATATAAAAAATAAATTAATTGGGCCACAAAATATTCATTGTGGACACAGCACTGTATAAAGATTAAAACTGTTGCTACAGTACTGGCCAGTGTGGCTCAGTTGGTTGAACAATGCCCTAAGCACTAAAAGTTTGTGGATGCAATTCCCAGTAAGGTCTCATGCCCAGGTTGTGAGCTTGATCCCCAGTAAGGGGCATGCAGGAGGCAGCTGATCAATGTTTCTCTCTCCCTCTTCCTTCCTCTCCCTCTAAAAATCAATTAAAAAAGAAACTATTGATAGAGATTAAAATGGTTTTTTAATATAAAATATTTAAGAAAGGCAAACTAAACAATCCAAAGAATTTTCCTAATCACATAATTTTACCCACAATTTCTGTAGTGACACTAACTCAGTATTTCTCTGATTCAGGACTTTGCATGACAATAAGGCATACTTAAAGAAAATGTTTAAGTTTTTCTTCCTACTCTTCTTAGATTCTATTACAACTTGAGTGCTTGAATGTTGTTGAAGAATAAAACTCAGAAAAGTATAAATATTGTAGCCTTGTTTCCTAACAGCCAAATATTTTACACATGCATACAAACTAAAAATTTAATTTCAAACATTTGTACTTTATTTGTATACCTCTCATTTGAGCAGTGTATAATTAAAATTAATATTCTCCCCTAAGATTCCTTAAGGTAGAAACATATCATTTATTATATAACACTAGAGGCCCAGTGCATGAAATTCATGCACTGGAGGGGGGTGTCCCTCACCCCAGCCTGCACCCTCTCCAGTCTGAGACCTCTCAGGAAATGTCCTACTGCCAGTTTAGGCCCAATCCCTGTCAGTCAGACATCTCTCTCACAATCTAGAACTGCTGGCTCCCAACCGCTCGCCTGTCTGATTGCCCCTAACTGCTTCTGCCTGTCTGCCGTCAGCCCAATCACCCCCAAACCACTCCCCTGCCAGGCTAATCGACACTTAACTGCTCTCCTGCTGGCCCAATTGTCCCTAACTGCCCTTCCCTGCCAGCTTGGTCACCTCTAACTGTCCTCCCCGGCAGGCGGGGTGAGTAGTCATGCAACTCTCTACTTATTCCCTGGAAATCTACTTGATATCTTATACTTGTTTAAGTATTTCATGACTAACACTGTTCTCTCTTTTGGCTTTTGTTTTCATGGATAGGAAATTCTAAGATGCACTGCTGAGGTTTACTATCGGGCAGGTGGGAAGAATAGAATTGAGACTACTGTCAAATGTCAGTCACCGGGAAAGGTATGTTTCTAATTAGTCAGCTTGGGTAAATTTTGCTCTGCAAAGTCCTATTTGGGCTTGAAAATGAACCACTATTTAAATGAATTGGGGGACTATCTTTTTAGAATGGAGAGAACTCTCACATTTCTGTGCTGACCTCTCTTTTTTATGTCTAGAAAGGAAAACAACAGTCAGTCCCCTAATCACTTCTCACCCTTTGTCAGTGTCCCATTCTTCAGGAGGCTCTCTCTTAATGAAGGGCAGCCCCTGCCTTGCAGACCCAATACTAGCTCTGGAGCTTTAAGATGTGCCTGAGATGCTTCACTGGCATCGGCCTCCATCCAAGGGACTTGGGAGAAATACAGATCTCAGACCCCCCTCCACATCGACTGAATCCAAATCTGCATTTTAGCATGGTCCTCAGAGTTTCATACCCACATTCAAGTGTGAGAAGCATTCGTTTGTATCATCTTTTCCAATTCTTAAGAAAACCTTGTAAGACTTTTCCCACTGTCAAGGATGAGACACTAAAAGTTACAAAGATGCTGAGATCCTGGAGTGGATAATAATATGATCAAGTTCTTGCTCTGTCCCAGGCACTGTACTGAGGACTTCACACATATTTTTCTCTTGACAACTCTCTGAGGCAGGTGCTGCTGTTATTCCTATTTTAGAGATGAGAAAAGTGAAGCTAGTGGTGCACGGATGCAAGTGTAGGTCAAATCAGAGTCATCTGTGTTCACATGATGCTAACAACTAGGCTCTGGCTTATTTGACTCCAAAGACCATGCTCTTTGCACCACTGACACTGCCTCCAGCATCCTGTTCTCACCAGTAGTGAAATGTAGGTGGGAATCATCCAGATCTTCAATTCGAGTAGCCTCTTACCTTTTTTTTCTGATTTAGATTTTTGCCCTGTATAGGTATATATGTAGTCTCACACAGACATTATACAAAGGCTGGTTTTCAAGCTTGTGAATATGTCCTAATGTGTTTCAGCCCAACAAAGGAATTGTGGGCACATGCTGCGTATATATTTAGTCCATAAAGCCATTTTGGGTCTTTTGGTGTAAAAACTGTAATTGTGCTAATAGAATTAGTATCAATTAATAAATAAAGTGCCATGGTGTTATGTAGTTCAACCACCCAATTTTTTCCAGATGAAGAAAAACCTCTACAGTTTAGAGGAGAATTTTTAAGAAATATCCACAAATTATAAAATCAATCAAAAGAGGAAAAGATATTCATTCTCATCCTTTCTGCAATATTAGCATAGCATTTAAAACCTGGCTCAAAATTTGCTCCATTTTAAACCAAGATGGCGTTGACAGGTCTTAATCCCTTCTTTCTTAATTGAGAGTGTGGTTTCCACAGTGATGCATTCATCTTAATATTTCCTGATTAAACCACATTGCTGAAAAGACCTCTAGATCCTTCACCTTTCCAGTCAGTACAAGTGGTGGAAACAAAATAAGGAACAACTGTAAGTCCACCGCACACTTCCATGGCACCTGTTCAAGATGAAGATCAGGATTCGGAAAAAGAACAAGGACCCACTCATTATCATGGCTGGGGCCATGAAAAGCAAATAAAACATGGCCTTGGCCATGGCCATAAATGTGACCATGACCAAGGCCATGGGCACAAAAAGACATGGTCTTGGCCATAGACATAAAATGGAAAATGGCTCATGGCCAGTTGGCCTGGAGGTCATATCCCCCCCCCTCCAGTATTACTTGTAACAATCAAGGCTATCTACAAGACTGTTCACAAAGCCCACAAGGGGGTGCACCAAGAAAGCATAAAAAATGCGGAGACAAAGAAACAGATCACAAATGACAGAAATGGAGGATATAGAGTTCAAAACCACACTTTTAAGGTCTCTCAAGAACTGTCTAGAAGCCGCCGATAAACTTAGTAAGGCCCTCGAAAAGACTGGTGAGACCACCGATAAATATAATGAGATCCTCAAGAAATCTAATGAGACCCTCGATGTTGTGATAAAGAGCCAACTAGAAATTAAGCATACACTGACTGAAATAAAGAATATTATACAGACTCTCAACAGCAGACCAGAGGATCACAAGAATCAAGTCAAAGATTTGAA